GGGGGCCGCTCCGCTGCCGCAGGTTCTTGACCTGAAAGAATCAGACTCTCCATAGGGCACTGCAGGAAGAGAACCCAGGAGCTCTGATCCCCAGCCCCCGCTCTAACCCTCTAACCCCACTCCCCTGCCAGATCTGGGAAGTCCTGGCTCCTTGCCATCTCCCACCTGCACCCCTCCCCCTCCATGACTAACCCACTAGATCCTATTAAACCACTTCCACTGCCTCCCTCTTGCCCCATCTCCCCCCTCACACTTTGTGCCACCAGCCTCACCTCGTACCGATGTGTCACTGGCACACTTGTCCCTGCCTCCTCGGCAGAGAAGTTGACGTACTTGGTTGACTCTTCGAGGCTGGGGGAGGAAAAGGATGGAAGGAACGAAAGAGACGGGAGTGTGATGGATGGGGCTGGAGAGTGGCGGTGGGTGGGGGCGCTGTGCTGCAGGGAGTGGGGAGGGGGCCCAGTAGGGGGCGCTCCCCCCCCCCATCTCTACACTGACCTACCTGGTGAGGATGATGAAGATGCCGTACTTGACTGGCAGCTCTGCCCGGTCAATCATGCGCTCGGTGATGGGGCCGCCATTGTCACTGGAGGGGGGAAGGGGGAGCAAAGGAGAGAGATGTGAGGTGATGCAGGCAGGTAACTGTGCAGGGAGGCTGCACCACAGGCCACTGCCCTGTCCTGCTCTGTGCATGGACCCCTCCCACTTCCCCCCAAGCTGCCTCCTGGCCCTGCACAGCCCCTCACCTGCTGACGTTGGCTGTGATCTGCAGCCTGTCCCCCAGGTTGGCCTCAGAGGAGACGTCGAAGGTGGCGACGAAGACGGCCTGGAAAACACAGGTGGGGTGAGAGTCAGGGTCTGGGGAACTGCCAGAGACAGGGCAGGCACAGGGGATCAGGGGGACTGTTGTATGAACTTAGATGGAATAAATGGGTCCAGGGAGGCAAAGGTGTTAATCCGGTTTGGGAGCCAGAGACCTCAACCTGCTCCGTGCCATGGCAACACCCCATTAACCATCCTTTTAAGAACCCCAAAGGGGTGAGGTAACAGCCCCTCCCCTCTCTCCCCCAGTGAGGCCTGATTTCCAGCCCCGCAAGTTTGGCCCTTTGTTTGCTGCCCTGGCATGGACTGACCCCAGCCCGGAGTGAGCTCAGGCTCCCCGGGCACTTTCCCCAGCACATCTCTTGTCACGAGCTGGGCTGACCCCAGGGAACTTCCCCGCTCTGCCCACAGCTGGGCTTACGGTAGGGTTGCCAACTTTCTAATTGCACAAAATTGAACAACCTTCCCCCTCCCCTGCCCCAAGGCCCCTCCCCTGCCCTGCCCCTTCTCTGAGGCTCCGCCCCCACTCACTCCAGCCCCCTCCCTCAGTTGCTCGCGCTTCCCCACCCTCACTCACTTTCACTGGGCTTGGGCAGGGGGTTGGGGTGTGGGAGGGGGTGAGGGCTCCAGCTGGGGATGTGGGTCTGGGGTGGGGCCAGAAATGAGGAGTTTGGGGTGTGGGAGAGGGCTCAGGGCTGTGGCAGGGTGTTGGGGTGCCGGAGGAGGTTTGGGGTATGAGTGGGAGCTTGGGTGCTGAAGGGGTCTCAGGGCTGGGGCAGGAGGTTGGGGTGCGGGTGTGGGTGCTGGGTCTGGGCTGGAGTTGGGGTGTGGGAGGGGGTTCTGACCTGGAGTAGGGAGCTGGAGGGGGCTTGGGGTGTAGGCTCTGGCAAGGTGGCACTAACCTCGGGCGGCTCCTGGTTACCAGCGCAGTGGATTAAGGCAGGCTTCCTGCCTATCCTGGCTCCGTGCTGCTCCCGGAAGGCCCAGGCTACTAGGTGGAGGTGCAGGCAGGCAGCTCCATGCAGTGCACGCTGCCAACGTCCGCAGGCGCCACCCCCACAGCTCCCATTTGCTGCAGTTCCTGGCCAATGGAAGCTGCGGATCCGGCGCTGGCGGCGGGGGGCAGTGCACAGAGCTTCCCTGATCTCCCCTGCATCGAGGGGCTGCAGAGACATGCCGGCCACTTCCGGGAGCCCCATGGAGCCAGCATAGGCAGGGAGCCTGGCTTAGGCTTGATGCACCACCAACCGTGCTTTTAACAGCCCGGTCAGCATTGCTTATCGGAGCTGCCAGGGTCCCTTTTCGACCGGTCGTTTCAGTTGAAAACTGCATGCCTGGCATCCCTAGCTCACACCTGGGGAGTTCACAGGCCAGGGCCCGTCCCTACCTCAGCTCCACTCCCGAAGATGGGGTGGTTGATCTGGCAGGTGCTGTTCCTTTGAGTCTGCTCCTCGGAGCCCACGGCCGAGCTGCACTTAACGACCATGGCCCTCCTGTTGGACTGACCATGAGAGACTATCCAGTCAGAGATGTAGACCACAGCACCCCTGCCAAGCCCCCTGCCCACTCACAGCAACTCAGCGCCCCTGCCGAGCCCCCCCACCTGCTCCCCACAACTCCGCTCCCTTATCGAGCCCCCCGCCTGCTCCCTGCAGCTCAGCACCCCCTACTTAGCACCCCGCCCACTCTTTACAGCTCGGAAACCGGACGAGCCCCCTGGCCTGCTCCCTGTAGCACAGCACCCCATGCTGAGCTCCCTATCCACTCCCTGCAGCATGGTGCCCCCTGCAGAGTCTGCCCCTCATGCCTGGTGTATGTTAGGGTACCTGGAGCAGCAGGACCCGGCGGTAGGACAGCGCGGCCGGGTAGAAGAACTGCACCGTGGTGCTGTAGGAATTCTCCCCACGGTTCTGGATGGAGACGGTGGTGTTGAGTTCAGGGGTGACCCCCACCACCAGGGTGCTCAAGCTAAGGGGGGAGAAAGGGGTGAGCTTCCTCAGGGCAGTGCCCTGGCCGTTCTGTGAACTTCTTCTTGCAGTGCCCAGCCGGTGACCTCAGTGCTGTGAGCTTCCAGGGGTGCATCTTCCCCACAGCAGTGCACCCTGTGACCCTACTGCCCATATTCTTCATAGAGATATTGTTGTGATATGAATATGGTATAACTAATTTGTATTTTATGCAAGATGGGTCATGTGCAGTATCATTGGAAAGGTGAAGATTTACTGAATGTGAATGTCCTATTTGTTTGGGGATGGGGATCAAACAGGGAAACAAAGGATTCCCACCACATGTAAATGCTATATAAGGCAGGGCTGGTTCTTCACTGAATCCCTGGCCAAGATGACTGCTGAAAATATCTAAGACTGATCTGGGGGAAGAAAGGACTGGACCTAGGCTAGAAGGTGTCTGGCCTGTGAAAGGAATATCTGGGATTCTAAGCTGCACCCTCCCAGCACTGCAAGCTGTAAGCAGGAGCGGTTTGTCTTCAAAAAACTCTGCAACCTGCTTAAAACAACATTTAGGGTGAGAAATTACCACTTGTAGCCAGTTTCTTTCGTGTATTAAGCTTAGTTGACATGGTTGTTTTATTTGCTCAGTAATCTGCTTTGATCTGTTTGCTATCCCTTATAATCACCTAAAATCTATCCTTTGTAGTTATTAAACGTGAGTTTGTTTTCTTTAAGTCAGTTTGTACAATTCATAACTGGGGGGAAAAAGCTGTGCATATCTTCCTCCCCATTGAGGGAAGTGGTGTATGGTTTTCTGTGCAGCGCAAGACAATACCATTTTGGGTTTACACTCCTGAGGCTACTTGAGTGCTGGTACTCCTGGGTGTACTTGAGGCCCTGACAATTCCCAAGCTGAGGCTATGGCTCCACTGGGGCTTTTCAGCGCTACAACTTTCTCGCTCAGGGGTGTGAAAAACCACCCCCCTGAGCGCAGCAAGTTACAGCGCTGTAAAGCGCCAGTGTAAACAGCGCCCCAGCGCTGTAAGCTAATCCCCTCGTGCAGGTGGAGTACCTGCAGTGCAGGGAGAGCTCTTTCCCAGTGCTGGTGCGCGACCACACTCGCACTTCAAAGCGCTGCCGCAGGAGCGCTCCCGCGGCAGCGCTTTGAAGTTTCGAGTGCAGCCACGGCCTGAGTCTTTCCATGCAGAGCTGATTTCAGTGTCTGTGTCTTTCTGCAGCTGGGTGTGTCCCTACCTGGGTGTGTGCTGGAGGAGGCTTGAGGGCCTGGCTCAGCAGAACAGTGTTAGGGAGCCCAGGCTGGTGGAACCGGCTGGCTCAGTGGTACCCTAGTACATCAGGGGGCACCCTGGAGTGGGGATGGGCCACCCTTCACACCCCCCACCCAGGATCCATCAGCACTGGAAATCTGACAAGATCTCCTGCTGGATGTTGAAGATCTGAGGCGTGATCAAGCCGAATGCATCCCACCGTGGTAGGTGTTTTGGGGAGGAGGATTCAGTGACTTACCCAGAGAAATTGAAGGAGATTTCTAACTGGTCATGGCAGCGGTCGTCGGTGCCACAGTCCTTCTGAAACGGGAGCTGGGGGGAGACCAGGAGGACAGGATCAGAGTGGGTGGGGAGGGGGCTGCAGCACCACCTGCCAGAGCGACACTGCAGGGACCCAGGGACCCTCCTGTTACCCCAGCACCTCCCCAATCTCCTGCACTGGGGGACAGCTAAACCCATCATCAGCCCCACCCCACACATACACGCCCCCTTCCTCCTCACTCTCTGCCCGGCAGCAGTTTCACACAGGAGAATGGGGAACAGGACATGGGGTCTTTCCCCCTGGCCAAAATAAATATTGAAAATTGTCCAGCAAAAATCACTTTTTTTAGCCAAAATATTTGTTTTTTTTGGACCAAAATTTTGGGAGCGTTGAGGAGAGCTTGGAATGTTCCCATGGAGGGGAGATGCCAAGGCAAACTCAGCATCCATCTCTATTGCCCTCTAGTGGCTGCACTGTGTAAAGGGGTTTAGGAGGCTGCTGCTGACTGAATTTTCCAGGCTCTTGCTTTCAAACCCCACGGTCACTGGTTCGATCCCTGCAGCAGACCCAGCACGAGGCCTGGCTCTGGCACCTTACCGAGCCTGCAGACACTGGCGCGGAGTCCTCGCTCAGGATGGGTCTGAGGCGGCTGGTGGCAGTGATGGGCTCCCCCGTCAGGGTGTAGCTGACATGCAGGGTGATGGGGGTCAGGGTGTCCTCTGGGCAGAGCTGGGGAGACAGAGAGATATGTTGGGTTACTGAAGGGAAAGGGGGGCTGGGTGCAACCAGGAGAGAGGTTTGTTCTCTGGGTGATTTGGGAGCAAGGGGCAGATACAGTGGGAGGGGAAGGAGCTGGAACCCCCCCACACTCACAGGTAACGTTATCCGGTATGTCTCACATCTTGTCTCGATGCCGAGCCGCAGCTCCCTGCTCAGGACGGGGCCGGTGGAGTTGAAGGCGGCTCGGATCTTCGTCCGCCCGGGGTCCAGGGCCAGGCTGTACTGGATGGTGCTGGAGATCCTGTCGCCTACGGGGGAGGGGAAACAAGGGACAGAGAAATTGAGAGCAGGAACTCCAAGGGGAAATGGGACATGGGGCCTTTCCCCTCTAGAGGGTGCTGGCTCCGATCCATCCCCAGGGCAGGGAACTGGCTAGCTCAGAGTGCAGGGGAGCGGGGGATGGGTTTGGTCTGACCTAGGCTGTCCATGGTGCTCTTAGTGACGGTGAAGCAGACCTCTGCTCTGCTGGCCTCTGTGTTGAGCTGCTCCTGCTCCTGGCAGTTGAAGGCCGAGGTGGGGATCGTGGGGGGCTGGAAGCTGATGGAGACCCCGACTCTGAGCACTGGCCGGGACCTGCCATGGCGGGAACAGAACCATCACCCAGCTGCTCTTTGCAATGGGGCCAGACTCCGTCCCACCCTCCCTCCCTCCCCAGAGCCTCCCACCCAGCCTGGATATGCTCACAGCACCCCAGGGAGATTGGTTATGGACACACAGCTCTGCTAGAGGAGATGCTGCGGGGCAGAGAAGGGAGCAACAGAGCGGTCATTGTGCCATTCTCCAGCAGGGGGCAGCAGTCACAGAGACTCACACAGACAGTATACTAAGGCCTTGTCTACACTATAGAGTTTTTTTCAACAAAAGGCAGTTTTTGTCCACAAAACAGTGGAGGTTTACACACTAATGCAACTTCTGGTGACAAAACTCTCCTGTTTTGCCGACAATGTAAAACCACCTTGATGAGAGGCATAAAGCTTTTTGTGGCAAAGTTATGTCGACAAAGTGCCAGTGTAAAGACTGTGCTTGGTTATGTCGCTATAATTGGCTCCCAGGAGGTGTCATAGAATCATAGAATATCCGGGTTGGAAGGGACCTCAGGAAGTCATCTAGTCCAACCCCCTGCTCAAAGCAGGACCAATCCCCAACTAAATCATCCCAGCCAGGGCTTTGTCAAGCCTGACCTTAAAAACCTCTAAGGAAGGAGATTCCACCACCTCCCTAGGTAACCCATTCCAGTGCTTCACCACCCTCCTAGTAAAAAGGTTTTTCCTAATATCCAACCTAAACCTCCCCCACTGCAACTTGAGACCATTACTCCTTGTTCTGTTATCTGCTACCACTGAGAACAGTCTAGATCCATCCTCTTTGGAACCCCCTTTCAGATAGTTGAAAGCAGCTATCAAATCCCCCTTCATTCTTCTCTTCTGCAGACTAAACAATGTCAGTTCCCTTAGCCTCTCCTCATAAGTCATGTGCTCCAGACCCCTAATCATTTTTGTTGGCCTCCGCTGGACTCTTTCCAATTTTTCCACATCCTTCTTGTAGTGTGGGGCCCAAAACTGGACACAGTATTCCAGATGAGGCCTCACCAATGCCGAATAGAGGGGAACGATCACCTCCCTCGATCTGCTGGCAATGCCCCTACTTATACAGCCCAAAATGCCGTTAGCCTTCTTGGCAACAAGAGCACACTGTTGACTCATATCCAGCTTCTCGTCCACTGTGACCCCTAGGTCCTTTTCTGCAGAACTGCTTCCTAGCCACTCAGTCCCTAGTCTGTAGCAGTGCATGGGATTCTTCCGTCCTAAGTGCAGGACTCTGCACTTGTCCTTGTTGAACCTCATCAGGTTTCTTTGGGAATAATCCTCTAATTTGTCTAAGTCCCTCTGTATCCTATCCCTACCCTCCAATGTATCTACCACTCCTCCCAGCTTAGTGTCATCTGCAAACTTGCTGAGGGTGCAATCTACGCCATCTTCCAGATCATTAATGAAGATATTGAATAAAACCGGCCCCAGGACCGACCCTTAGGGCATTCCGCTTGAAACCGGCTACCAACTAGCCATGGAGCCATTGATCACTACCCACTGAGCCTGACGATTTAGCCAGCTTTCTATCCACCTTATAGTGCAATCATCCAGCCCATACTTCTTTAACATGCTGGCAAGAATACTGTGGGAGACCATATCAAAAGCTTTGCTAAAGTCAAAGAATAATGCATCCACTGCTTTCCCCTCATCCACAGAGCCAGTTATCTCATCATAGAAGGCAATTAGGTTAGTCAGGCATGACTTGCCCTTGGTGAATCCATGCTGACTGTTCCTGATCACTTTCCGCTCCTCTAAGTGCTTCAAAATTGATTCCTTGAGGACCTGCTCCATGATTTTTCCAGGGACTGAGGTGAGGCTGACTGGCCTGTAGTTCCCCGAATCCTCCTTCTTCCCTTTTTTAAAGATGGGCACTACATTAGCCTTTTTCCAGTCATCCGGGATCTTTCCGGATTGCCATGAGTTTTCAAAGATAATGGCCAATGGCTCTGCAATCACATCCGCCAACTCCTTTAGCCATTTTAAGGGAGCGCCTCACCTGCAGATGGTTTACAGGTGCCAAAATCTGGGGCTGTTCCTCCTTAAGACACCACACTAGCCAGTGAAAGTAGAAAAATCCGTGAATTGGTGTTTGTCCAAGGGGCAGGATGAGTGGGGGAAGTGGGTTAAGAAACACCCTTTAGAAATCCAAGTTGGCTCACAAGTGAAATGAGTTTGGGGGCCTCAGCCTCTTTACTGAGGGACTTGGGCCCAAGGCACCGAATAAACTCAACCAGACGTCTGCACTCAGGAGGGAAGAGGGGGTGAGACTGAAGAAGCAGGAGATGCTGCAGATGGAGATTGAGGGGCATCTGGGAGCCTGGGGCTGGGCTAGCAGGGGGCTGCAGGTCGGGAGTGAGGGGCACCGGCAGGGATATGTGGTGGAGTCCATAGCTGGAGCAATAGTGAGACCTTCAGGTCAGGACTGAGGGCCATCGGGAGAGCTGGAAGGATGTGCGCATGGCCCCTGCTGCACGTGTCACCATTCTCATGTTGCTGAGCGGTCCCGTCCATCCCATTGCTGCAGTGAAGCCTTCAGCTGTATTATCCCGCTTCTTCCCCTCGGGTCTATCCCGCTCCCCAGAACTAGTCCCTCCTGCAGCCCTCTAAGCTTCAGCTGGCAGGATGGCGTCCCTGGGAGGGAGGGTTGTCTCCGTGACCCAGCAGTGTTGCAGCCATTCCCCGCACGTAGCGCACAGGCTGGATGCCTGAGACACAGATTCATCGGCAAGCGACGGGAACGGTCCGACTGGTCAGCGTTAGTCGTCTCCTCGGCGCGCCCGCCCCCACAGTCAGGGGTGCGGATCCAACCTCTCCTGTTGGAATCTGCTTGAGTCAGCCGGGCGCAGCCCAGACCGCTCTGCCCTTGGCACAGCCACACTCATCCTGGCTCAGTGGTGGCACCCGTTCCCCAGCAGGAAATGCTTCCCAAGGCAGGGGGGGGGGGCATGGAAGAAAGCCAAAGGGATCCAGCTAGATCCCTCGAGGACACGGGATGGGCTCTCCCCACTCACAGAGGATGTGCTGTGACATTAAAGCAGTCTTAGCAGCAAGACGCATTGTGTGCCCCTGAGGCTGCATTTCTCAATTAAGACTTAAAATATGCTGTCGCCCAAACAGGAGCATGGCCCTGTTGTGTGTGTGTGTGTGTGTGTGTGTGTGTGTGCGCGCACCCGCACACACCTCCTGCCCCAGGGACCTTACAGGCTAAGAAAGCAAGTGTCCCACAATGCCCTTCCTGATACGGTGACCAGGTGTCCGATTTTTGACTGGAACAGCCGGTGGAAAAGGGACCCTGGCGGCTCCGGTCAGCACCGCTGACCAGGCGGTTAAAAGTCCAGTCGGCAGTGCTGTGGCTCTAAGGCCGGCTGGTCCCTACCTGTCCCGGCTGGCACCGCGCTGTGCACCGGAATTGGTCAGAAGGTCCGGCCTCTAGGTGTGTGTGTGTGTGGGTGTTCTCTGAGTGCTGGCTCTGCACTCCCCGGCCAATGGGAGCTGGGGGGCAGTGCCTGTGGGCAAGAGCGGTGTGTGAAGCCTCCTGCCCCCCCATCCAGGACCCGGACCTGCTGGCTGTTTCCCGGGTGCGTATGGCAGTAGGACAGGCAGGAAGCCTGTCTTAGCTCCCCCCCCCCCCCACCGCACACTGGAGAGCAGGAGCCGCCAGAGCCATGCCCCAATCCTGAGCCACAAGCCCTGAGCCCCTCTTGCACTCCAAACTCCTCCTCCCCAGCCATCCCCAGCCCCACCTCATAGCCAGCACCCCCAGCCCTCACCCCCTCCTGCACCCCAACCCTCTGCCTCAACCCACAGCCCCCTCCCGCACTCCAAATCCCTTGACCCCACACCCCAGCCTGGAGCCCCCTCCTACACCCCAAACCTCTCATCCCCAGCCCCACCCCAGTGCCTGCACCCCCAGCCGGAGCCCTCATGCACCCCAACTCCCTGCCCCAGCCCGGAGCCCCCTCCCGCATCCTGAACCCCTCATTTCTGTCCCCACCCTGGAGCCTGCACCCCCAGTTATAGCCCTCACCCCCTCCCACACTCCGATCCCTGCCCCACCCCAGTGAAAGTGAGTGAGGGTGGGAGAGAGCGAGCCACCGACAGGGGGAATGTAGTAGGCGGGGGCGGGGAATTGGGGAAGGGGCAGGGCAGGGATGGGGCTGTGGGGAAGGGAAGGCATTCAGTTCTGTGTGAAGAGAAATTTGGCAAATCTACGTCCTGACTGCACTAATCAGCGGTTTGAACCCCGCTGCTCTGCAGCGACGTAAAAAAGCATCCACTCTCCTCCTTTAAAGGCCCAGGAATTTTTGAAGTTCCACTTCCTGTTTGCTCAGTGTGGAGAGCTCACATCACATCTCCCCAGCTGACCATAGCAACTCCATGAGGCAAACGCTCTCCTACTTGGACCACTGTGAAGCTGTTGGATCTGCTGAATATATTGTGAGAGAAGGCTGTCCCATCCTAGCTCTGCTCCAGCCATAGGAACTTCAAGACCTACAGGAAGATTTCTCATGGCTTCTGTGAGAAGGGCTACAAATCTGGACACAGTGCAGTGCAGAGCGAAGATAAAGGAACTGAGGCAGGTGTACCAGAAGGCGAGGGAGGCAAACTCTCACTCCGATGTTGCACCCAAGAGCTGCCGCTTCTACAAGGAATTGGAAACCATCCTCGTGGCAACTCCACCTCCACCGCAAAGAGCCCCATGGACACTTTGGTGGGGTGGGAGAAAATGGAAAATGGACCTAACCCTGAGGACGAAGTTGTGGACGAGGAGGTCGAGTTGCAGGACATTGTGGACCCCACATCAGGGTCCAGTACCACGGTGAGTCAGGAGCTCTTTTCCACTCAGGAGGGATGTAGACAGTCCAGGCAGTTCGTCTCTGGTGAGTATGATGCAGGAGAGGAGACCCCTGGTAAGTGATCCTTTTGAGCAGATACTGCTCGATTACCTGGAGGACAGCTGTCCTTTGCTCTGAATACTGTCGTAGTGGGCGAACGAAGAGTTAGAAATGTGTAAGACTATCTGTGTTTCTGTGTGCTGCGCATTTCCCTGTGCAGCTTAGCAGTGCAGCAGAACAGGGTGTTGATGCACACCCTGATTTCATGGGAATCCTCCAGAGAGATCTCTAGCAAACTACCCTGGAGGTACTTGCCAATCCTCTGCCAAAGGTTCCTTGGCAGAGCTGCTTTGTTCCGTCTCCATTGTAGGAAACTTTCCCGCACCACTTGGCAATCACTTGTGCAGGGACCAAAGGGGCACACAGGTGAGCAGCATCGGGACCGGGTCTGAACCTGGACGCATGCAGTAGATGCACCCTTGCTTACCCTCAGGAGTGAGAGATCAGCTTCAGTGACCCCGCCTGTGGAAAATGGTGGCAGAACTTACAGTATTGTCCCCAGTCACCTCCACTGATCCTCTGAAAGCATCATCAACACCCTTTGCCCCATTTCAAATGTCCACCCCACCCCCACCTAGGCCATACTCAACATCTTTAGGGTGTTCACTGAGATGTGTGCTTGCCAAGGGACATTGAGAAAGTGATTGGTATGTTACAAGAGGTGTATTTTACTGTAATGATTCAATGCTGTACGTGAACTAACAATCATGCTCCTGTGCATTGTTTCTTGTGCATCTGCAGCTGTGGCATTCAGGGGACCCCACTACACACCGGCAGAGCACCTACGCCGGATAAGGAAGCAACGAAAGTGGAGCAGGGAGGACATGTTGAGAGAAGTGCTCCAATTCTCTGAGTCAGAAAAAAAAGAATGCATGGTGCTGAGAGAAATGGGAAGACGGGACAGAAAGGGGCATGAGAAGCACATTGTAAAGGCCCATGGGAGGATGATGGAGCAAACAGAGATGTTGAAGTCCCTAATCACACTCTAGGCAAAACAGATGCATGCTCACCCCACTGCTCCCCCCCCCATAGCCGATACAAAACTGCTTTCCATGCCCTCCCCAAACTCCTTCCAAACATTCCTTGCAACTTCCCAGAATGTCTCGGGATCCAATTCACTCTAATCCTTCAGACAGCTTCCAAATTGATAGCTGGACTTATGCACAGTTATGAGAGACTCCACTTCCCTGCACTCTTATCTCCCCTCCCACCAAGCCTTTTGTGTGTGTTAACTGGTGTTTAATAAAAACAAACTCTCTGAAAGATAAACAAACTTTATTTGTGTCCTACATGCATGGACGACGGGTATCAAAGGCTGGGGAAGGCTGAGTCTCCCCAAGCAGCCCTGCATGGCCCTGCCCACGCTTCACCCCCAGGTCCCCTCTTGCTTCCTGCCGCACTCTGCTGTGGCTCTTCCCCCTTGGCCGGGGCCCCAGTCTGGGGCTGGGGCTAATGGGGGCCGGCCTGCAGCCAGGGACGCCAGGAAGCTGGAGCCAGGCTTGCTGGAGCCAGGAAGCTGGAGCTAGTGCTTAGGGTTTGGGGGCTGCGCTGCATGCCCGGCGCTCGAGGGCTGGGGGGGGCGTTGCCTACCTGGCACTCCGGGTCGGGGGGGGCACACTGCCCACCCTCCTAGCCCTGTAAGGCTTGGGGGGCACGCTGCCTGCCCGGCACTCCAAGCCTGGGGGGTGCTCCACTCGGCGTTCCAGGGCTGGAGGCAGTCAGATGGTCCAGGGCTTGGGTGGGGGGGGCCTCTGGGTTCTGGCGGGGAAGGGGGGGATAGGAGGGGTAGGCACAGGAGCAGAAGGAGCGGGCTGGGCCAGGGGCTAGCGTCCCGAGCCTGCGGTTCAATGACCGCCCATGCCTACACATAGTGATTATTGCTGCTAGTAATATATACATGAATTCTAATCATTTGCTTACTACAAATCCGTCAGGAATCACAAGTGCGAGGCCAAATAAGCTAACTGAGTTACATGAAGCATGGCATATTGCTGTATAAAAATATACATTACTGGTTTGCAATCTCAAAATCTTGCCTTAAACGCTCCCTGATTCAAATTGCCCCCCATTGTGCCCCTCTAATAGCCCTGGTATCAGGCTGCTCAAAATCAGCAGCCAGGTTGTCTGCTTCAGCAATCCACCCCAGGGGAAACTTTTCACCCTTGCCCTCACGAAGATTATGGAGTGTGCAGCAGTCAGCTATGACTATTTGAAATCTTTTTCTGACTTAGATCTAACCTGCCATAAAGGCATCGCCAGCGCGCTTTTAATCTGCCAACACACATTCCAGGGTCATTCTGCACCTGCTCAGCCTATAGTTGAAGCGCTCCTTGCTGCTGTCTAGGTTTCCCGTGTCAGGCTTCATGAGCCACGGTTGTAATGGGTAGGCAGGGTCTCCCAGGATCACTATGGGCATTTCAAAATTCCCCATTGGAATCTTCTGGTGTGGAAAGAAATTCCCTGCTTGCAGCTTTCTGTACAGACCAGTGTTCTTCAAGATGAGTGCGTCATGCACCTTCCTGGACCACCCTGTCCTGATGTCAGTGAAATGCCTGCAGTGATCAACAAGTGCCTGCAATACCATGGAGAAGTACCCTTTTCTATTGATATACTCCATCACAAGATGGTCCAGGGCCAAAATTGGAATATGTGCCCTGCTGCATTTTGCGAATTCCACGTTCACAAAGCCATCCACTATTTCACGCACATTGCCAAGAATGACGATTCTTCATAGCAGGATGCGATTAATGACCCTGCACACTGTGTTAACACAGCACCCATGGTCAACTTCCTGACTCCAAACTGATTCGTGACTGACTGGTAGCAGTGTGGAGTCACCAGTTTACACACAACAATCACCATGCGCTTCTCCACTGAGAGGGCTGTTCTCATTTTGGTGTCCTTGCACCGCAGTGCTCGGGTGAGTTCTGCCCACAGTTCCAGGAAGGGGCTTTCTGCATCTGAAAGTTCTGCAGCCACTGATCGTCATCCCAGACCTGTACAATGATGCGATCCCACCACTCAGTGCTTGTTTCCTGAGCCCAAAAGCAATGGTCCACCGTGTTCAGCTGCTCCATGAATGCCAAAAGTAATGTGGTGGTGTTTCTTTCCATTGCACACAGCAGGTCAGGCAACTCTGATTCCTGTTCAGATTGGGAGCTCATGATATATTCTATGATGAGCCATGATGTGTTCATAACAATGACCATAACAGTAGAGAGTATTGCGGAATCCATCCTTTCACACAGAGATGGTGGGTGCAGAGTAAACAGGTGGTGTTAAAAATGCTACTAAAAGTAATCGGAAGATCATGGAATGTTGGGACAGGAGATAATGTATCATGGAACATTGAGCTAGCACCCAAGATGGGTTGTGGCGAGATGCACACTGGGATAGGTACCCACACAGTGCACTACTCTCACTGTTAATGCTACAGCACCAAGTGCGGATGAGCTCTGCCGACAGAAGGAGGGTAATGTGAACATGCAATAGCGAAGAAATTATAGCGTCTCTTGATCGCTGACAAAACTTCTATTAAAAAAAGCTCTGTAGTGTAGACAAGGCCTGAGACTGTCATGTGGAGCAGTGCAACGACAGAGTAACTCACCTCAGCAGCAGGACCTGCCCTTGTGCTCCTACCGCAATATCTGGGAGTCCGTCCCCCGTCAGGTCTGTCCCGCCACTGACGGCCTGGCCAAAGTAGTGCAGCCTGCTGGGAAACAGTGACCCCTCAATGCGCTGTGGGGCAGAGAGAGCAATAAGGAGTGGCGAAGGGGTGGCTGTACTGTATAATAGGCACTAGGGGGCAGTGGAGGGTGAGGGATGGGAAAGGGGAGGCTGTACTGTATAACGGGCACTAGGGGGCAGCGGAGGGTGAGGGATGGGAAAGGGGCGACTGTACTGTATAACGGGCACTAGGGGGCAGCGGAGGGTGAGGGATGGGAAAGGGGCGGCTAGTACTGTATAATGGGCACTAGGGGGCA